GGCTTAGTAGTACTGTGATCCCAGGCTGAGTGATGACCTTCAGTGGCTCAGTAGTACTGTGATCCCAGGCTGAGTGATGACCTTCAGTGGCTCAGTAGTACTGTGATCCCAGGCTGAATGATGACCTTCAGTGGCTCACAGCAGTACTGTGATCCCAGGCTGAATGATGACCTTCAGTGGCTCAGTAGTACTGTGATCCCAGGCTGAATGATGACCTTCAGTGGCTCAGTAGTACTGTGATCCCAGGCTGAGTGATGACCTTCAGTGGCTCAGTAGTACTGTGATCCCAGGCTGAATGATGACCTTCAGTGGCTCACAGCAGTACTGTGATCCCAGGCTGAATGATGACCTTCAGTGGCTCAGTAGTACTGTGATCCCAGGCTGAATGATGACCTTCAGTGGCTCAGTAGTACTGTGATCCCAGGCTGAGCAATGACCTTCAGTGGCTCAGTAGTACTGTTAGTCCAGGCTGAATGATGACCTTCAGTGGCTCAGTAGTACTGTGATCCCAGGCTGAGTGATGATCTTCAGTGGCTCAGTAGTACTGTGAGTCCAGGGTGAGTGATGACCTTCAGTGGCTCAGTATTACTGTGATCCCAGGCTGAGTGATGATCTTTAGTGGCTTAGTAGTACTGTGATCCCAGGCTGAGTGATGATCTTCAGTGGCTTAGTAGTACTGTGATCCCAGGCTGAGTGATGATCTTCAGTGGCTTAGTAGTACTGTGATCCCAGGCTGAATGATGACCTTCAGTGGCTCAGTAGTACTGTGATCCCAGGCTGAGTGATGATCTTCAGTGGCTTAGTAGTACTGTGATCCCAGGCTGAGTGATGACCTTCAGTGGCTCAGTAGTACTGTGATCCCAGGCTGAGTGATGACCTTCAGTGGCTCAGTAGTACTGTGATCCCAGGCTGAATGATGACCTTCAGTGGCTCACAGCAGTACTGTGATCCCAGGCTGAATGATGACCTTCAGTGGCTCAGTAGTACTGTGATCCCAGGCTGAATGATGACCTTCAGTGGCTCAGTAGTACTGTGATCCCAGGCTGAATGATGACCTTCAGTGGCTCAGTAGTACTGTGAGTCCAGGGTGAGTGATGATCTTCAGTGGCTCAGTAGTACTGTGATCCCAAGCTGAGTGATGACCTTCAGTAGCTCAGTAGTACTGAGCCCAGGCGGAGTGATGAAGTTCAGAAGGCCTCATTCAACCTGGAAGGCCATTGGCAGAGGCAGGAAGGTGCGCTGAATGTTGGGAGGGGAGCAGCAAGCACATGGGCAATAATAACAGGTTACAACAACTATTGGTAATATTTTAATGGGATACATTGTGCATAAAGTGCAAATACAAAGTGAATAAGATAACACGTTCGGTGTTCCGTTACTATTTATTCTTTATATCTAGTTCAAGTATTTCACATACTTATAAAATGAGTAAAAAGACGTATTTACAATTTTGTGCAATTTATCGGATATATACAGAAGTGCGTTTGTTCCCGTCCAATATCAATGAGAAAAAGTCGCCTCAGACTGACATTTTGTTTTGACAGATTTTTCCACCATATGAAATAATGTAAGATTTGGACATCTAGGCGTTTGGTCATGTGATCACTATCGGGTAGGGAGTGGCGGCCATTCATAATCCCCTTCAGCAGCAGTCACATGGTCATGTGATAGGCTGCCAAGGTCCTCAAAGCAGAAAGGCCGATGCTCTATCGAAAGCTCCAACTCATCGAGATCTCCAACTACCTCACTTCCGGTGCTCAGAAAGACTGGAGCGCTGTACAGTTGCGTTGCGCATAGCAATTTCAGAATACTCGTGGAGTTTGCCACCTGCTAAATATTGTTCAAGTGCAGCTGTACAAATCTCCGTCAGTCTTTGTGTTTTGCAGTCTAACGCTGTGTGGTTGAAATCTCCAACTTGCAAGTACCTGGCAGTGAGGTAGTTGGAGATTCCGACGAGTTGGAGCTTTCGATAGAACACCGGGATGGTGTTTCCAAGTCAGCCAAACATCAGCTCCCAAGCTGGGGTGAAGCTACAAATCCCATTAGGTAGTGCAAGACTCTTGCAGCCGGCATGACTCCCGGAGGCAGATGCATGATGGGAATTTGTAGTTTTCGCCGCAGCTGAAGGGCAGGAGTTTGGCTACCCCTGGTATATGTCCACTTTAATGCTTGCAAGTCTTATTTTGCACAAATCTGTTTTGTATGAGATGCGGTAAGAAGTCCGTTGTACTTGATCTACGGACCTGTCGTCCCCACTGGCAAGGTAACAGTTTCAAGCTTTGGTCATCTCAAGCTTGACCACTAGTCCATACGGAAACCCAGAAAATATTCATCTATAATATTTTTATGCCCAACCACTCGCAGCTCGCATGTGACCCAGCCACCACGCCCTGCTCTTTCAGCGCGGCTTCCCTGAACCACTTTCAGCGCTGCTTCCCTGAACTTCCTGTTGGGGAGAGCGCCCACTGGCTATGCCATATGGTGCCGGTCACAAGGGACGGCACAGCCTTAAGCTTTATCAGTTAGTTTGGAGGTGGGGGGGAGGGGGGTGACTTCCCATCCCTAGGCTATGGTGCTGTATGACAAGCAAAGAACCGGGACAGTCAGCCAGGGGCCCCGTGACCCCGTCTTTCATATTTTACCAAACAATTGGGTATTATATTCTGTTTCTCTGCACTAAAGTTTAATTTAGTTTATTTTATCCTAAAAATACTGGTTTGGTAAACATTTGCGCAATTACCGTGCGGCATAAAAAATTGCAACTAGCATTTTTGTTATTCTACAGGGCCTCGGCTTTCAGAACATTGTTTGGGGGTCTGAAGCTGCTTTCTAGCCCAAAATGTATATTTTATCATGTGTGCGCAAATAGTAAAGAAAATGCTCCGGACAGCAAGTGGTTAACCATTCCATCCAGACCGGCTACCTGCATGGAACCCATACACACACATTACACACATATGACACACACATTACATTACACACATATTACACACACATACTACATGGGTTTCTTCTGTGCTCAGCACATGGACATTGCAATGTGTCAGTTCACGTAAGAAACAAGAAAAGGTTTCCATCCCGCTCCTTCGTTTTTCCCTGTCACTGCACTGAAAACAATGGTCAGTTAGACCCCCACCGACCATAAAAACAAAATGGAATGCGGGTTCAGTCAGAAAATGAAGCTTTTCGAATGGAATTCTGGGGTATGGCCAGATGTGATTTCAAACAACTGTTTCTATGAAGAGTTGTGTGTATACATGTACAGGGGGGCATTACAGTGTATACATGTACAGGGGGGCATTACAGTGTATACATTAGGAGCCGGGTGGGGAGATGTGCAAGGGCCATATTTTTGCTCTTTGCGGCGTCACTCTCCATCATCCAGCACCTAACTTTCCCGTATGATGGGACAGGAGAGAGGTGGCAGGGGAAGAGCTGGGAAAGGGGGGGGGGCACTGCACACAGAGATGATGGGACAGGAGAGAGAAGACAGGAGGAATCATATTGAGATTCATCCTTTCTAATCATCCTGGTGAAAAATAGGAAATCCAGCTTCCAAACCACAAGTCAGGGAACCTTCCCATGGTGACACTTGTTCCAATAACAACCAAGGGCCGATTTCGTCCAATACTTCGTATTGTGTGCCTGGGATAGAAGGTGAAGGGAAATCTCCTTAAAGCGGAAGTAAACAGCTTCATAATTGTTTTGCTTTTGCTCTAACGTGCAGGTATTAGGGAACACTCCCCTTACAAGTCTGCTCTTCTCCAGCACTGTTGATCCAACACCCAATGGTTGACAAGGATGCCTGAGAACCCAAAAGTGTCATCAGCAGAAAATGGAGGCGGCAGTTCACAGAGCATGATTGATCCGCCCTACGGTCCTCATGCTCCGTGAACTGCCGCCTCCATTTCCTGCTGATGACACTTTTGGGTTCTCAGGCATCCTCGTCAACCATTGGGTGGCTACTGATGATGTAACGCCTGCACTTCCACATAGGCACTTGCACACAGGAGTTACATTCTCCCTGGCACCCGGCCCATTCACGACATCTTGGAGATGCTGTGAATGGGCTGAGTGTACACACTGCATGGCGAATGTGCTGTACAGTGTAGAAGGAGTCACCCACACACCAAGGTCCAGTGAATTAGGACGCCTTTGTTTAGATGGATGGTAAAAATACACGGTATCACTAATACACAGCGACATTTCGGAACCATAAGCCGCCCCTTCATCAGTCAAACATAGTGATACCATCCGCAGGTCATTTAATCCTATTGGGATTCCAACGGGAAGTATGCTATTATGTGCTGTACAGTGTACACAGAGCATTAACGAAAATTGCCGGGGGAGAGAGGACACATTTTTGGGGCAACATTTGAATGCGTCTTCTGCCAAAAATCCTGACCTATTAGTACTTAAAAAAAAAAAAATGTTTGTTTACTTCCTGCTTCAACAGGAAACAAGACCAAAAAAACCTTTTAGGGGTTTGAACCATTCCATACTCTATCCAAAGATTAAAACAAAAAAATGTTTTGCCTACAAATACACTTTAACTGCACATTAGGAACATGAGACTGTAAGCTTCACCAAAATAAGGACTGTTGAGAATGGTCCCTAAAAAGCTGCATAACGTGTCACAGCTCCATGAATACACAAAATAAAACACATTTTATGAGCTATGCCAGTAAAGTTCTGCTCATTGACACCATGAAATGTACGCTCGCATAAAATGTCTTCAGATGAACCGGCAAGCTTTGAAATACCTGCTGGTGGAAATGACAGGTTCTCTTGGGTGATGAAGGTAGACGAGTTGTAAATACTGTATGAAAACCATGATAATGATGCATTCTGTCAGAGGAGATATTGGACCATGTAAACATATTTTGCAACAAATGAACATTAGAGTCTTCAGCCATATTGGAAGGTCTGGTACGGTCAGGGGTCCAGCATCATGTATGGACTGAATAAAGTCTTCAGCTCACGTGCACAGCAAGGAGAATTCATTGAGTGGCGGCTGTGACGTCATCCTCGTTGGAGTAGTTCCCAGAGTCGCGGCCTTTCGCCTCTGAACTGTTTTTATCCATTGTGGTCTCAGCGTCCACCGGACTGTTCTGCATAATATAGCACCTGTCAGTTTTCTCTTCTTCGTGTAACAAAAATAAGTTTTTTATGTAATTTCGAGGCGAGTCCTGCAGACCCTATGAAGAGCAAAAAGAGAACACGTCAAACGATCATCCCGTGGAAGTGATATAGGGCCAGTTCACACCTTTGTGTGTATGTTTGCGTAAGGCAACCGGTTTATTTTGAATGGGCTGTCAACACACCTGAGCTACATTTGATAAAAGTACTCCACAATGTACAGCAGAGTATTCACATCTCATGTGTTGTTGGGAGCTATAGTGCAGGTGCGTTCTTATTGTGTGCATTGGGGTGCTGGAACCGCAGTGCAGTAGTGCTATCCAAGGGGGGTGCGGTCGGCACCGGGTGACACCATCAGAGGGGGTCACACCAAAATGACAGAGAGCTCGACAGCTGCAGGAGAAAGGAGGGCATACCGTATCCCACTGAATGAAGTCCCTCCTCTCTTTTCCAGCATCCATCAGCAAGATGGCCACCGGCAGTGCTCGTGCGTAATGACATTGCGTGCATACATAATAACGTGCGGGCTGGGTGACACCCGGTCTGGGGACATCCCTGCCACAATGCACATTTACCTGCATGGTCACACACTGAAAAAATGTAAAGGAACCCACCCTAGAACATGCTAGTCTGGTATGGTTCATTATGACATGCTAAATATCCCCCACTATGTGTCATTGACTGTGGGTCCCTTTCCAATTGGTGTCTGAATGGTGAGGGACACCACATATAAAACAGTACTGGCCCCGGGGGACCAATGCCCCCCAGCCCAGTCCTCCCCTACTCATAAGCCCCCATTCACACCTTCCCAACGCACAACAAAGCTCAACAGGAGATTCCCATTATATTCAATGGTGACGTGCTGCCACTTGTGGCATGAAAAAGTACATGAACAATTTTTGCAGGTGAGTTTTTGGCCCCATAGGCTTCAATAGCAGCACCTAAAAAACACACAACACGTGAGGGCCTACAAGAATCTCTACCACCCCAGTGAGGTTTCTCTGCATTGGGAACTCCGATAGCACAAGACACCACAACACTGCACAGAAAAACAAGGAAGCAGATAGAAAGGACGATGATGAGATATGACGTCATAGATGATACCACTTTGGGACCAGCGACAGCGGTGACACAGGTAAGTGTGGGGGGGACAGGGGGAGAGAAAAGGGTTCTGGGCGGTTTTTACCCTAATCCAGAGAATGCATTAAGATAAAAACGCCCAGACCTTCATACTACTTTGAGTGATTGCCGTCCGCCCGTTGTGAAAAAACGGACAGGCGGCAAACTCCCATTGGTGGGGTTTTTTTTTTGTGCGCGCACGGGCGGAAAAAAAAACGTCCATTGCAAACAGCCGTTACCGGCTGTTTCACAGACAAGCGATCGGTGGCTCTATAGCCGTCCGATCACTTGTATGTTCTACATGCGCGCGCCCCTCCTCGAGTGCCGCCGTTTTGCTGTCCCCCCCCTCCTACACCCTCACCTTCAATCCCGTGATCCGCTGCCCCATCTGCAGCCTGGGACCGCCTCAGGTGGGTGTCAGGAGGAAGATGGGAGGGAGTTCAGCATCTTCCTCCTTGCTGATCTCCCACCGTAGTGTGAATGCGGAAGTACCGTATTTTTCCGTGTATAAGACGCTACTTTTTCATTAAAATGTTTGCCTAAAAATAGAGGGGCGTCTTACACACAGGGGCTGAGAGGAGAACCGCGGTTGCGAAAGTGCCGATACCACTGCAAACTACCGTAGCCTCACTTCGGATTGCAGAGACAAGATAAGTTTTCCTCCAATCATAAATCTTTTGTACCTGACGTCAGCTGTTGCTGGGGAGAGCGGATTACAGAGCCGCTCTCCCCAGCAACAGCTGACGTCAGGTACAAAAGATTTATGATTGGAGGAAAGCTGTTATCTTGTCTCTGTAATCCGATCATAAATCTTTTGTACCTGACGTCAGCCGGCGTTCGGGAGAGCGTGCAGCCAGTGCCCGGAGCTGTAATGTCGGAGCATAACGTGATTGAGGTAAGTGTGATGCATTATACCATTTAAAATATGGATTTCAGAATTTTGGGTCAGTCAGCCAGTGCCCGGAGCTGTAATGTCGGAGCATAACGTGATTGAGGTAAGTGTGATGCATTATACCATTTAAAATATGGATTTCAGAATTTTGGGTAAGAAAAGTTGGGGGCGTGTTATACATAGGGGCGTCTTATAGACGGAAAAATACGGTAATGTGTACTACATCACTTCCGCATTCACCTGTCATTCCTCTGGCTGCTGTAGCCAGAGAGAAGTGCTTAATCAGCTTCTTTGGGGGTCCCCAGGTGACATTAGGAGTCTTAGAGACCCCTAATGTCTCCATAAAGAGGACTGTCAGTGTGCCTTTGCTATTATATAGGGGGATTGTTATCCCCTTATATGATAGCAAAAACAGGTGTAAAAAAAAATGTGAAAAAGTTTAAAAGAAAACCCCAACATTTTTAAGTCCCCCACCCCTGCTTTTACGCACATATAAACGTAAATACGCGTCAGATGCGCCAGCGCGCGAAAATGACAATTGCGCTACACATGTTACATATCGCCACAAACGTCACAGTGAGAGCAATCATTTTAGGGCCATCAAGCGTCGCCTATGGCCATTTTTGGGTATTATAGTTTTTTGAGGTTTCGCGCGCGCACGCAATTTTAAGGCTTGACATGTTTGGTGTCGTTTTACCTGATGTGACCCCGCCTTTTATATTTTACCAAAAAATTGGGTAATAATAAATGTTTTATAATTGAATTTAGGGGAAACAGTTTTTGTTTTAACATTTTCGGTTTGTCTATTTTCCCAGTACCTTTTCGATGCTTGATGGCAGCTTGCTTTTTGGGAAGAAAATGTGTCTGAGGTACCGTTTCAAAGGACAGAGACAGATGTAGAGAATGGCTGAGATGACAATTATTGCCACGAAGACCGACCCTATGATCCATTCTTTTATGTAAGACCGAGGAGCTAGAAATGAAAAAAAGGACATAAAAATGACCAGTTTATTGATTGCCAACTACAGTGAAATTGTAGTGCTGAAAACTACTAAAGCAGATGTGTATGGACACTGAATTTGACACTGAAAAGCATGCGGGCCCCTAAAAACTGCACATGTTGCTCTGAACACACTCTTAACACTGCATATAAATGGACTGTAACATGCAAAAACATTTACAAAAGTCTTGCAAGGGTTGTAAAGTGTATAGCCACCTTTACTCAGCAAGACATTAGGTGAGGGAAGCCAAAACAGCTTGTCAGGGGCAGACCAGTCACTTTTCAAAAAGGTTGCAGTAGTAAGGGCAGGCTCACACCATTTTCCGGACCAGATCTGGAACGTAGTGCATTGTGTTTTTACTGTGATTTTGCCGCATTCGGGAGCTTTTTTTTTTTTTAGCTTAAAATGGGCTTTCAGGTGCATTCCAGTGCGTTTTCGATGTGTTTCCATGCGTTCCAGACCAGACAAAATGAGACCTACAGTATTTTTTTGGCCTGGAACGGACTGCGCTGGTGTGAACAGAGGCCAGAAATAGCATAGGGATACATTAGGATGCATTTTGGGTCCGGAAACAATCTGGAATGGAGATGATCTGGATGTGGTGTGAATAGGTCCTAAGGCATGTACTGGAAAAGCTTTGACAGGTTATGACTTGTAACTTTTAGAAGCCAGCCCTGGCGTATATATAGACTTACCACCCTTTCTAAATACGATATCATGGCAGTGATTTTTTTTTTTTAAACATAAAATCAGACACAGCCACTCAAAATTCCACCCTGGATTATGAAAAGGAGAAAGCCACCCCAGATGAACTCAGGGAAGACTCCACGGAGCGTGTAAACTCAAATAGGGGACAACGTTCTAGGCTGTCGGCGTCAGGTTCTTTAGAGGGGATACTGCAAGCTGCCCCAGACCTGTTAGTGGATGACGAGCTTGGGGGCTCCCCATGCTCTTATGGTTGGCCATACCTCAAGTTTTGTAGTTTGAAGTGTGACAAAACCCAATAAATGGGGCTCACACAGTAGCTGCTGGAGAGGTTAGATGGCCGGCTGTGACAACGTCGCCATCAGATAGTACTGTCAAAGACATGCTTGCTGTGGTCCTGTGTGGCTGTGACGTATCTCATACTGTAGTGGTACAGTAATAGCTATAATAGTAATAAGGGGCATGTGTGATACATTAGTGTGATGCAGTAACAAAGCTAAGGTGTGATACATTGGAGTGATGTAGCACCATTCCCTGTCTGTCACAGCTCTTAAATCCCAAGCATTAACCCCCCAGGGGGACCAGCAAGAGAATATTATCACATGCCAGGCTTCTTGTAAAGGGGCAAAGCCCTTGAAATTAGCCGCACGCTGTTCTGGAAGAGCGCCCTGCAGCTAACAGACAAATTAGTTAATACCGAAAAGGCAGGGACCAGCTGCTTAGTTCATACAGTGTTCATCCCTCAGTTACCTTCCAGGGGAGTCTTCCAGCAGAGGATGCCACCTATGGTTGTATCATGGCCCTGGACCTGTAAAGTGTCCTGCGGCTCACTAACACAGTCCACTAGTCTGGAGAGTGCCACAAACAGGAAACAGTGTCGGAGGGTCACATTACAGGCCAGCACCACGTTTTCATCATGGCGAGGTCCGGTTACGGCCTCCAAGACAGTGCCGAATATCAACAGGTCCAGAAAATTACAAAATGAGCTCTCATGGCTCTGCTGCTACCAAAGAATCTTAAATGAAGAAAAAATATCTTGGAGTGTTCGCTAAAATAGGAGAAGATGTCCATTCTCCTACGGAAACGATCAAGAAACTAAAGCATGATGGGAGTAGGAGGGGATATATGCTGCCTCACAGCTTTTATTAGCCATTGTCCTATTCTCCTGCATGCAGCAATGTAACCCAAATGTCTCACAATCCTTCTCACCCTGTGTCCATTGATGAATGATTAAGAAATGTATTTATTATTATTTTTTTTTTTTTTTAAATAGCTGATAGTAACATGTACTGTGTACTAACACTGTGATATAGCTGCATGTAGTTATACACACTAATGAACAGGCCTAGTACAATGCTTTTATCTGATGTTAATACATACCAGTTGTAATGCAGTAAATCTTGCTATAAAGCCCGGTTCTGTTGCCCCCACTACATTTTGTATATGCTCTTGCACAATAGGTTGTTGAGGCTTCCACGGCATCTATCTTAAAGTGCATTCCTATATTTTGCATAGCGTTCACCTGCACACAAAAAAAACAAAATGGAAAAAGCGTCATTGCATCTAAAAATGTCCAAAAAAGGGTCCCCCCGGCAGGTTTTGACTGAGGATATCCTGTGCATGCAGAGCGCCATGGACCCGCCCCCTAAGGGAGCATCGTTATGGCTCCTTAAATTTACACACAGTGATGCACATCAGCACCACTCTCTGCAACACTGAGGACGCCCACCACTGTAGCAGACGCAAAGAGGAAGAGGACCCTGTGCGTCATATAACCAACCTGATTCAAGGGATCACCAGCACGCCAGTGTTCAGATGAAAAGACAGGACACTTTATTGTCACCAGCAGGAAGCGATGTCTCAAGGCCAGTAGGGAAATCTTCCTCAAACAGCACAGAAAAATATTACATTTTGGAGCAGGTCCTAACCCTCCTATTGAAATGTTTTGTAACTGCTTTGTCACCCTTTTTATATTGTAAAGTGATGCAAACTGTTGGCGCTATATAAATCCTGTATAAAAAAAATAATGATGATAATAATGCCCATTGCCTGGCCAGTTTAACCTTAAAATGCCCAATTATAGGTGTCAACCTAGGTAAAAGCTGCAACAAACAGAAGGTGTGGCTAATTTACATATAGGGTGTGGCTAATTTATATATAGGGTGTGGCTTTTTTACATATAGGGTGTGGCTAATTTATATATAGGGTGTGGCTTTTTTACATATAGGGTGTGGTTATTTTACATATAGGGTGTGGCTATTTTACATATAGGGTGTGGCTATTTTACATATAGGGTATAGCTAATTTGCATATAGGGTGTGGCCAACTTAATTATCATCAGAAGGAATGCCAGCACTCCTGTAAATAGCAAGCACAGGCATTTTACTTGCACTGAATATAACGGATGACAACGCTTCATCTTAAAGGGGCCCTGTGAGGTCCCAAAACATTGTCGTCCCACTATTCTGAGGTTGTGTTTGGGGGGTTACTGTGAAGGTTTTCTGCTAGTAATTAAGTTCAGACCATCTCCAAGGATCGGATGAGTATAACTTTTTTTCTTGAACCAAGACACAAACGAGCACTTAACCCTTGCAGAGCAGTTGTAGCCCCACTGCAAGGGTTAACATTTTTCCCCGAGTTCTGACTCAGTAGAACTGCCTCTAAAACTTTTTTTTTCCACTTTTGGATACAGTAAGTGAGGGTTATAACTCGGGATGCACCGATAACGGTATTTCGGTATCGAGTACCGATATTTTTTTTTGTTACTCGCCGATACGAATACCGAGTACCGGAAGTCCCTTTCCAGAAGCCAGGCGGCGTGCAATGACTCGCCACCTGGCTTCCTGATTAGCCGGGAAGCCGTCCACATGCTCCTAGTGACGAGAAAGCATGCAGCCGGCTTTGCCTGTGCATGCCTGGCCCCATACTTCAGGTATCAGGAAGTTGGGCAACACGTCATTACACGGAGCCCAGCATCCTGATTGGCCGGGAAGCTGTCTCCATTGCTCCCTTGTCATGAGGTGACGAGAGAGCATGAACCTGGCTTCCCGACCAATCAGAAAGCCGGGCGCCTCGTCATTACACGGCGCCTGGCTTCCCAATTGGCCAGCTTCCAAACAATCAGGAAGCCGGGCGCCTCGTCATTACACGGCGCCTGGCTTCCCAATTGGCCAGCTTCCAAACAATCAGGAAGCCGGGCGCCTCGTCATTACACGGCGCCTGGCTTCCCAATTGGCCAGCTTCCAAACAATCAGGAAGCCGGGCACCATGTAATGACGTGTTGCCCAACTTCCTGATACTGGAAGTATGGGGCCAGGCATCGGAGCATTTGGGTGAGTACTAGTATCGGTATTTGGGCGAGTACTAGTATCGGTATTTGGGCGAGTACTAGTATCGGTATTTGGGCGAGTACTAGTATCGGTATTTGGGCGAGTACTAGTATCGGTATTTGGGCGAGTACTAGTATCGGTATATCCCTAGTTATAACCCCTGTCAGCTTTTTTTTGTCATTTGTGTCCCATTCGGAAGATTTCCCTTCACTTCCTGTCCACAAGGAAATCCCTCCAAAGCGAGGGAAATCCCTGGTGATCTCCAGAACTAGAGTCCCCATTGGGAGATTCCCCATCTATTCCTGTTCTGGGGACAATCAAAACATTTGGGATCTTCTTTCACTTTCAATGACAACGGCCACCAGGACATGTAGAGAAGGTGAATCTTCCTAACAGGGACGCGGAAAGCAATAAAAACCGGACAGTGGTTCTAATTCTTCTCCACTCTATCCAAAACAAAAACAAAAACGTGTTGGCTTCAGTTGCAGTGTAAATGGATGTTTGACTTACTTCTGTAGGTGTAGAGGTTTTCCAGCTCTCCAGGTGATACATCCACGGGCAGTTCTGACGGAGAACTGAATTGTGAAATGCTTCAGGGTGCATAACAGTAATGTGCAGATCGTTGTTCTGTAGAGTCAGAGTCAGGTTGGTGGGGGGTCCTATCACAGCTTGGGAAACAAAGGGAATATGAGTGAAGAAAAACTTCTAAAAGGTGACGTCTCTGGGTCTGTCATCCCCATTCTATTACATAGTTTTTTTTCCAGTCTAGGCACCCCAGCAAAATGTAAACAACGACCTAAAAGCCATGCCACACCCTTATTCCAGATATTGGTGACACAAAAAAAGGGGTTCCCTCCTTCACATCAGAGTCCCCTCCTTTCACATCAGAGTCCCCTCCTTTCACATCAGAGCCCCCTCCTTTCACATCAGAGTCTCCTCCTTTCACATCAGAGCCCCCTCCTTTCACATCAGAGCCCCCTCCTTTCACATCATAGCCCCCTCCTTTCACACCAGAGTCCCCTCCTTTCACACCAGAGTCCCCTCCTTTCACATCAGTCTCCTCCTTTCACATCAGAGTCCTCTTCACATCAGAGTCTCCTCCTTTCACATCAGAGTCCTCTTCACATCAGAGTCTCCTCCTTTCACATCAGAGCCCCCTCCTTTCACATCAGAGTCCCCTCCTTTCACATCACAGCCCCCTCCTTTCATATCAGAGTCTCCTACTTTCACATCAGAGCCCCCTCCTTTCATATCAGAGTCCCCTCCTTTCACATCAGAGTCTCCTCCTTTCACATCAGAGCCCCCTCCTTTCACATCAGAGTCCTCTTCACATCAGAGTCTCCTCCTTTCATATCAGAGTCCTCTTCACATCACAGCCCCCTCCTTTCATATCAGAGTCTCCTCCTTTGACATCAGAGTCTCCTCCTTTCATATCAGAGTCCTCTTCACATCAGAGCCTCCTCCTTTCATATCAGAGTCCCACCTTCCCATCAGAGTCCCCTCCTTTCACATCACAGCCCCCTCCTTTCACATCAGAGTCCCCTCCTTTGGCATCAGAGTCCCCTCCTTTCACACCAGAGTCCCCTCCTTTGGCATCAGAGTCTCCTCCTTTCATATCAGAGTCCTCTTCACATCAGAGCCCCCTCCTTTCATATCAGTGTCCCCTCCTTTCATATCAGAGTCCCACATTCCCATCAGAGTCCCCTCCTTTCACATCACAGCCCCCTCCTTTCACATCAGAGTCCCCTCCTTTCACATCAGAGTCCCCTCCTTTCACATCAGAGTCCCCTCCTTTCACATTATAGTCCTCTCCACATCAGAGCACCCTCCTTATATATCAGAGTCCCCTTCACATCAGAGTCTCCTCCTTTCATACCAGAGTCCCCCTCCACATCAGAGCCCCCCCTTCACATCAGAGTCCCCCTTCACATCACATTTATTACAGCACGCTGTGCCGCATTACTATGTCATTGAGAAGTAAAATAACAAGCGCTGCAATTCAGAGCAGTGAGCGTTAAAATGCACACTAGCGCACGTATGGTACACAAATGTTTTTGCATGAATAGACCCTAAGAGCTTGTTCACACCTTCTCCAGACCAGATCTGGATGCATTTGACGCGTTTTTGATGTATGTTGGTGCGTTTTTTTTATGGTCCATGTAGTACTTTTTAAAAACGTTCTGGAACTGAACGCCATAGTGTGAATTAGCCTCACTTTTTACCACAGGAATGAATGGGGGTGCGTTTTTGGACCAAATGTTCTGGTCTACTTTGCATCTGATCCAGACATGGTGTGAATGGGCCCTAATGGTTTGAAAGTTCTTCCACCTTTGCTATTCTTACACTATACCCTAATGCACTGTAAGCTCTTCCACTATCTCTGTCCCTCCTTAACCCCTTAGTGACCAGTGACGTCCATAGTACATCCCTCGCACCGGGCCCCTTTAAACAGACTCCCGGCGGCTTTACAATAGAAGTGATTCTGGCGACTCAGCTGTCGCCAGATCGCTTCTCTGGGCCAGTAAACGGACCGCTCGACATCCCCCGCCGTGTTTCCCGGGCTCCGTTGCCCATCCTATGGGCCCAGGACTAGCTTCTTGGGTGTTGGTGGGAAGCTGGGGAGGAGAGTGGCGAACGTCTGTTCACCGATCTCCTCCCCGTACTATGGGACCGAGAGCAACGCATATTGCATCACTTCCGGTCCCATATCTGTCATTGCTCGGCTCCTGAAGCCCAACTATAAGCTATTGATGTGCGATCTGCACTTCAATAGCTTATTTCAAGTGGAAAGGTGACACTAGAAATCTTTAGGACCCCCAGTATCACGTTAAAGAGTACCTGTCACCACCAATCTGCTTGTAAGCCCCCCTATGTGATAGCAAATAAAGTAAAGTAAAACAATTTTTTCAAGTCCCCTGCGAGCACACGCGTCGGGTGCGTCTACGTATGAAAATTAATCTTGTGAATCCTACATTTACGATACGCCTAGGTATGAATGAGGGATTATACCATAATGGATTTTAAGCACTTTCACTCTCATACCCTAAAACACTGCCACCACTTCCAACTTCTTTAATCCCTTTTCTACCAGCGTATGTTTTTAAACAGCAGATTGGGGACTTCTTATTTCCCTGCCTCTTAAAGAAGAACTCTGGACAAAACTTACCCTTGCAGCGGGGCCAAATCTGCACACGTTAAATGCTTGTTTTGTATACGGGGCTGAAAAAAAACTTTAATCCCCTGATCCTTGGTTCCGCAGTGGTCAGCGTTCACCTATCTCTTCCTCCTCTCCGGCTGTGGAATGTCCCTCAGTGACCTCATGTCTCATGCAAGTAAATGGACCTCCATAAGACCAGAAGACGTCAGCGTTCCTTAGACAGTCGGTGTCCAGGGGAGAAGAGGCTGCAAAGACCGGTCTAATAGTCCGGTGGGAGCTGGGACCAGGTGAGTATGTCTGTGTGGGGGGTAACCCCATTGCAAGGGTACATTTTTTATTTGCCAGAAAAGTTCTTCTCTAAAAACATCAATGTAGAAGAGACCAGCAGGCGGACGTTCTGCTCGCTAATCAATGCGTACGGATCCGCCCCTCCCCCCAAGTTAATCCGGCAGGACCTAAAGGGTCTGGTATCAATTGGGGGGGGAACCTCACGCTTTTTTTTTTCCTCTTCTGCAGACTGTAAAAAAAAAAAAATGTTTCTCAAATGTCATTTTGCAGCAACGGAGTTTCGTCCACAAACGAAATATCGTCCAGACTACCGGTAACGTATGTCGTAAACGGAAAGTCGGATGCGTTTGCATTCGTTATTTCTGTATTTTGGAATTCGAATACATTCGAATCTCTGAAATTTCGTCCGAATTTCGATTCGGAGCGAAACGAATCGCACGTGTCTACAGACTTATAAAGTTACTGAAAGGTTCACTTTAAGGGGTCTGTTAATAAACTTTTCAAAGTCATTCATCCTGCGAAGATCTGTGGACATTTGTTCTGTGCGAATGGAGGCAAAAACCAAAGTTATTTTTAAGTCGAGTGTAATATTCAGAAATACCCCATTATGGCCACTAGATAAAGCTGAGGAGCATAGGAAGGAAGTACTTATTGATGGAGCTGAGGAGCATAGGAAATAAATACTTTATTTGTATGCTGCTCAGCTCCATCTAGTGGCCATAATGTGGTATTTTCCAAATATTACATTCAACTTGCGAAATAAAATATACTAAGAAAGTTTGTTGCTGCCTCCATCTGCACAGAAGTTTTTTTGTGGCAAATAGCTCTGCGACTTGTTTATACATAGACCCCCTACGACTGTTTCATTTTGATACAAAAAGCACATGTGCATATACCAGAGAAATGCATTAGGAGTGTAGTATTAGCCACTTACTGTCTTCTAAAGGAGAAAAAGTGGCAATGCTGGAGTTGTGCTCATCTGTTTTGCTATTGTAAACTGAAACAAGGAATTTATATCTATACAACACGTCTATACCGGACACATTGCACTCTGAAGCGGTGATATTTTCACATCCTTCCGGGATACTCCAAGTACTCCCTAAAGAATAGCTTTAACAAAAAAGAAAATACTTTTAGTTCCAGAACAACATCAGAGAGGGATTCACTCATGAAACACGGGGGGTGATTGGGTGGACAGACTGCTTAAAAGGTTTTCTTTTACTTTAAAAGCAGAGCATCACGTAAAAGAAAACTTGGTCACAAAAATGTTATAACAAACCAGTTTTATTTATTTATTTTAAGCACAAAAACGAAACAACAAGGTGAACAAAAAAAGTGCACGTCAAACACACAAAAAAACAGTGCATTGGGTGCGCCAACCGCTCCATCTCCCAAAGAGATAGGGCCCTTCCCCGACCCTCAGGAGCAGGCACTCATGTTCACCTGGCCGAAGCCAGACGGACCCATTGCTCATGGTAAGTCAAAGCCGACCGCAAAGTACTAAAGACAGAGCCCCAGGGGAGTGGGGAACCTGATGGCCACACCTTAGACTTCAAGGCAGGCCCGAAGACCCCCAGGTTACCTGGGGACGCTGAACTGTCATTAAACGATGATAACTTGGCTGAGCCAGCCGTGTCGTCACAGCTGGCTCCGCCCAGTTGTTATTCATTGGGCGGGACCTGCTAGAAGACTCTGGCAGGTCCCGGCCAATAGGAAACAGTTGGGCGGAGCTAGCCGTCACTGCTAGCGCCGTAAAAATTTTCTTTTTTCAATAATCCTTGATTTTTAAAAAAATCTTTATTTATTTTTTACATTTATCATTTATTTACCTTTTGTAAACATTTTTTCCTACTTTTTTTTTTTTTCCAAACTTTTTTCACTGTTTTGCTGTTCTGCTTGGTAGCACATAGGTACCGAGCAGAATAGCCGAGCCGAATACAAATGTTGGATCGGCTGAGTCGAACCCCTTCTGCACTTCGATTCAGCTGAACATGTTCGGCTAAAGCAAAGTCAGCCGAAGCAAGCCGATGTACGGCTGAAATCAGCCGTACAAGCCTGAAGCGAATAGCCGAACAGCGTCCGGCTCACGTCACTTCGGGTCGGTTATGCGCTCAACTGCCTTCGGCAGCTTTGTGAATAACCCTCCTGGAGTTGGACATTGAGGGATCATATGAATCAACATTAGTTTTGTTAGTACATACGCTTTGGTCACTGAAAAGGTCACATTTGGATTCTTTTGATAGTCCCAGTCCCATTTTAGCAGATATATTGTGTTTATTCCCTCCACTCGTAAGTTCTCTGGAAGTCCTGTGAAGGGAGATATAAACCAATCAGGAAATTCATATCCAGACATATTGTACTCATATTCTTCTACTCTATAGTGAAGCATAATTACACACAGTGCATTTCACACTATAAAGCTACGTGTAGCTTGCATCTACCCACTGATTTATAAATCTATTTTTACAAATTTGGACTGGGTTGCACTGCCGCTAAAATAAAACAAATATTTTCGAGTACTTCTCATGGCAACCATTTGTAAAACTAAAAAATCTGCATACATACCTTTCTGTCAGATGTTTTTGGTCCAGTGACTTATTCATTTTTGTCCCCCTGCCCCGAACTAAAGGATCCCACCTTACCTCTCCGGAGATCTGTACTTGCTGAGATCTGGCGGACATGGTTTAGCTTTTGTTCACATCCCGCGCCACAATGCTCCCTCTGCTGGCCACACCTACACATTACAGCCCCATAGACATCTATAGGGGCCATCTCCAAAAAACACGGGGACACAGCCGGCAACAGAGAGACTTGCAGCGCTGGATGTTGACAGACAATAGAGCAGCGGCCCTCTGATCTCGATAGGTATAGATCTGTGAAGGGCAAAGGTGGGATCATTTAGGTTAGAGGAACTCTGAGATAAGCAAATATTGTCTGAATACAAGGGACATGTGCCTTCTTTCTTGATTCTTGGTAACGTTTGTCTATTTTTCCACATCTAGCCAGCAATCATATAACATTTTGCCTCTGTGCAGGAACTTCCTGTAATAAAGACCGGTCACTGCTGCTCTCCCACCTTGAGCAGGGTGACTGGTCTTGTCTCTGCCCCCTTCTGTAGGCAGAATGTAGTGGGTGGAGCTTGCTGGGTCCCTCCCACAGCTCTGCTCTCTGCACAGGCTGTGTACAGCACATTGATGATGTCACTGGTAGTGTTACAAGGTAACTACTTAGTTTGCAGAGAGAGAAAGAGACAGAGAGACAGAGAGACAGAGAGAGAGAACCCCCCCCCCCAAAAAAAAGTTCACACACTTTAATATTTAATTGGACTGCCTTTAGCTTGGATTACGGCACACATTCGCCGCGGCATTGTTTTGATAAGCTTATCCAATGTCACAACATTTATTTCCATCTAGAGTTGCATTAATTTCGCCAAGATCTTGTAGTGATGATGGGAGAGTCGGACCTCTGCGCAAAGTCTTCTCTAGCACATCCAAAAAATTCTATGGTGTTAGGGTCTGGACTCTGTGGTGGCCAATCCATGGGTGAAAATGATGTCTCATGCTCCCTGAACCACTCTTTCACAATTTGATCCTGATGAGTCCCGGCATTGTCATCTTAGAATATGCCCAATGTGCCATCAGGGAAGAATCTGGAAAAATCTGGTCAGTGTATTCAGATAGGCAGCTGACCTCATTCTATGGGGACATAATGTTGCTGAACCTAGTAGAGCTGCAACAGTTAATCGATTAAGTCGATTAAAATCAACGATCAAAAACGTTGTCAACGTTTTCGATCGTCGATTCATCGGCTATTGATTGATTAGCCTGTTCAGGGCTCCACACACGGCCTGAGCCGCACGTACGTCACACGCTGCGCCCGCGCGTCCAGGACGCTGAAGCCACGCCCACCGCACAGGACACTGAAGCCGCGCACGCCGCTGCCGTGAGCTCCCTCACTCGCCGCTATCCC